ATATTGTATATTATATAGTATATATTGTATTTTATATAGTATATATTGTATATTATATAGTATATATTTTATATTATATAGTACATATTGGATATTATATATTATATATTGTATATTAAGTCTAATAAGGAACCCCCAAAATAGTATAGGTAATTATGACCATTTTCAGATATCTGTTTTGTCACTGTGCCATTATGACTTTTGTTTGCTACAGTATACGATTATACCCTGCCTCCCCCTACCCTCGAAAAAAACAAAAACAACCCCCAGCACGGCACTCATCTTGGGGTCGGATTATATAGGGGTCTAAATAGCTACCTATACTATTTTTGTTTGGGGGGTCCTTATTCTAAGTATAGTAGAATATACCCCAAGGCCCCAACATGATCTTCCCACGTTTACTTATTTTGTATTATATTATCTGGGGCCCCAAAACCCTAGTCTAATTACTAAGGCCCCTACATTACCCTAAACCCTAAACCCTAGTCTAATTATCAAGGCCCCTACATTACCCTAAACCCAAAACCCTAGTCTAATTATCAAGGCCCTTACATGACCCGGCAGGTGTCCCAGGAAGATGGTTCGAGCTCTTGGGGCTACAAGCTCATCGACGTCCACGGCGAGGCCTGCATCCCGGAGCACCTAAACCCTATAAGCCCCTAATATGGGGGCCTTAAGTAATTACCTGTGCTATTTCAATTTTTGGGGGCTCCTTCTTATAATCATGGTATAATGGGCCCCATGACCCTGTTCTACTGACTAAGGCCCCTCTATCCCCAAAAAGCCCGCGACCCCTGCACCCTGAGCCCTGACCGGGGAGCCCTAACCTTGTCTTGGGGCCGCCTATGGGTGTTAGGGTCTAAGTTCGGAGGCATTAGGGTTTAGGGCTTAGGGTCTACTGTTTAGGGCTTGGGGGTCTATATGGGAGTTTCCGAAAATAGGGGACCCTAATATAGCACCCTAAATAGTATAAGGACCCCAAAATAAGGTACCCTAGTTTTTGGAAGCTCCCATATGGGTGTTAGGGTCATGGCAGTCTGTAGGATTCGATTCCCCTAAACCCTAAACCCTAAACCCTAAACCCTAAACCCTAAGCATGCGGGTTGTCTTATCTAAGAGATTGCCATCCTCAGAGGCTGACAACTGAGCCCCGGAACCCGAGCTTAGAGATGTTCTCAAGTCTAGAGCCCAGGGTTTAGGGTTTAGGGTTTAGGGTTTAGAGTTTAGGGTAGGCCCCATAGTAGTTCCTTTTTGGGGTTCATATTTAGAATCCGATGAGACAATCCCAAAAAGGAACTACTATGGGGCCTATGGGTAGATGTGTCTATAAGTTCGGGTTGGGTTTTACACACTTTGAGTTGCAGGTTTGAATGTTTAGGTCTCAGGGCTGTGGCCGAAAGGGTGGTAGAGAAGGGAAAACGATCCCTGAATCAGGGTCACCTCGCTCTGCGCGTTGCTGCGCAGATCGGTGGAGGTCTGGAAACGGGCTGTGTACCCTGGACAGGCCAGTTTAGGGTTTGGGGTCTAAGTGTTTAGCTAGGTCGCCTGGGTGCCCCGTAGAATGCTGATTCGATCCTTCTCTGATGATCTTATCCTTTCTTGCTGGGTTGCTGCTGTCAGTTAGAGCTGAAAAGCAGCAAAGAGATGTATACCTGGGGACATCAACAACTGTGCAGTCACCTTTGTGTGTGTGTGTACTATATCTAGATCCAAACGGTGAGGAAGCAAGTGAGCGGGGTTGTCTTTGATTGATTTGCCCAGGGAGCATGAGACGTCATGCATGTCCCAAGAAGAGTTTAGACTAGGGACCCGTCATAGTCCCTTGTCTTGGCGTTGCTTCTGTCGCTCCAAGATGCAGAGGTTTCCTCGAGGCGACATGCCCAACGTAAACCCAAAACCACCAACCCTGCACCCCTAACCCCAATCCCCAAATCCTAAACCCCAAACCCTCAGCCACAAACCCTTAAACGCTACATTCCTGACATCCATCGCTTGCTGAGAGGCAGCTCTTAGCCCGATCTTAAGCCCCAACGTCCAGCCCCTAACCCCTGAACCCTCAAGACGTGAACAACCCAGAACTTCAGCAGAAATTCCGTCAGGCATTCCTCAAGCAGAAACAGTCTGACCCCTAACCCAAAGTTTCCTATTCGAACCCGAAACATTGAATCCCAAACACTCTTAAAACAGCCCCAAGCCTTGAACCTGAAAGGCTTTCCTAAACCTCACTACAGCCTCAACTTGACACCCTCAACCTCTCTAAACCCTAACACCCTGAACCTTAAACCCTAGGCCTCAAACCCTAACACCCTGAACCCTAAACCCTGGCTGTTAAAGGTGGCTGCGTGTTCCTGGGCCTCGCGCTGACGGGTTGCCTCTCCACCGACCTCAATGGTCCGCTTCTTGAGCTAGGCTTGGGCTTGAGGATTGAAGCTCGAGGGCATATGCAAACAGCTGTAGGATGAGGTTTGAGGGTTTAGGAGTAGTTTAGGAGTTCGGGCTTTGGATGTAGGTTCTGGGAGATTACGGTTTGGGGTTGGGGGAGGTTCAGGGTGCAGCAAGCGCGGGCACTTCGAGCGCAAGCGCCTTTTCGCACCAGCTGTATAACCCTGAACCCCAAAACCTTATAAGACAATCTGTAGACTGAACCCTAAACCCTAAACCCTAAGCCTGTAGACTCCGAAAGCCTCAGCCCTAGACCCAAGACACGAGAGTCCAAACCCTGGCCCAGCTATATAGATCTTAAAGCCTTCAACGCTATAGACACCAAAACCCTACGACCTAAGTCCCAACACCGTATAGCTCTAATTCCTAGACCAATGCAGGTGCTGGCACTGGCATCTTGGGTTTGGGCTTGGCCCTCACAGGCCCCCGGAATTAAACTGCTTTAGTTATGGGAGTCATTGTCACATCTTGAGGAGTACGTAGTTACTCTTGAATAGAGCGGGGCTTTGTAATGATGAATTAAGGGATTCAAGGAGTAAGACTGCCACTGCGAGTAGAAGTGCCGCTGACGACTGCTAGCCGTTGGGACCGATGTTGTTTTGCGATAAAGAGCACCCAAGAAGCCCTAAGTATCAATCCGCAAATACGAAGCGAGTGAACACATTGTGCTCTAACTCTATTTATCCAAGTGCACAGTTCCAGAAAGGACCAAGGGGTGGCGAGCATGCAGACGTTGGGGGGATTCTTGAGAGTCTTTGTGCCCAGCTTGTGGATTACTGCAAAGCCTAAACCCCAAACTATGCCCAAACACTCAAGCCCCAAACCCTGAACCGTATAGTGAGGACGCGTCAGAGCTGACCCCGGAGCAAAGGGGTTCAAGCAAAAAAGTTCCGGAGTTTAGAGTTGTAGTGAGCGCCATACGATCCTCCAGGCTCCGGTGGCCGCTCTTAACTCGAGGTTCAGGGCTTGGGACTTTTGAGTTTTTGGGGTTGTAGAGTTTTGGTGTTTAGGTTTTCGAGAGGGTTCAGGGTTCTGCACCTCTGTAATCTTGAACCCTTAACCTTAACCCTCAAGCAAAGCGCAACAAAATACTATTCGACCCTCAAGGTGTGACCGTAATTTCGCCATAGCTCCCCATGCTGACTTCCCTGCAGCTGCAATCTCAACATCCAAAACTCCCTGACCAATGCAGGTGTGTGTATACAGGGCTCCTCGTCAGTAGTGCGGTGGACGGATGTTAGGGGTTTTGCTATGCGGGATACTTATAACATCAAGCGGAATTTCACACAATGCTTTCGCCTATTTTCTCTAGGGCCGCTACATGTGTTTTCTATTCGGATGGGAAATGAAGACACGATCAACCTCTGTCAGGCAGCGTGGTGACCCTGACGGACGCTCAGCCAGCAGTGCCTCCACGCCAAAAGGGGGGGCTGTCTTCGGGTGTCGGGCCTGGGTTATAATACATGCGCCGAAAAAGCTGGCATAGAGTTGTGCGGTATATTGTACTAGACTCACTAGACCTATTTATCGGCGTTTATCGGAGCCCTAAGGAATTCTGTTGGTGATTATACATTACAAACCCTAATATTTGGGTTTAGGGTTTAGGGGCTAGGCCCATTAAACGGAGCCCTGAGGAATCATGTTGGTGATGATAAACCGAGAGATGAAAGGTGTTGGGATGCAGGGTTGGTTTTCGAGCTACGGGTTCGGGCTTAGGTTGGGGGATTCAGGATGTAGGGCTCTGGGTTTAGAGTTGGGCTTCGGGTTTAGGGTTTAGGCTTTCGGGCTAGGGGTAACGATTTAGGACTGTGGTGGCTCAGGCATTTCGGCGCCTCGCGGGAACGAAGCTCAACGATCTCGCAGCAAACTTGCAAGGATACTGTATTTGCAAGTTGTACCTTTAGAGTAAGTGTTTCTTCAGGCGCCTATGTTGCCTATTTTGCGTAGAGTCTTCGTCACTTCTGACTCACTGGGTGCCTCAAGCCGCGAAATATCGAACCTTAAATTTGCCTTAAACCTGAGCCCGAACCCTAACTGAGCCTCGGTTCAGACTGCGAGGTGCTGGAGAACCTCAGACACAACCTGGAAGCAACCAGGGCATGCGCGGCGAAGGCGTTTCGACTGAAACTCAATTGGTCTTCCATGCCGGCACATGCGATCTTTGAAGGTACCCCAAACTTTATGTCAACATGTACAAGATCTATCTATCTATCGGTCTACCTGTCTACCTGTCTGTCTGTCTGTCT